GACTGGAGTTCAGACGTGTGCTCTTCCGATCTTATTAAATTAATTCTTTAATAATTAGCAACTATCATTGATTTATGCACTTTAACTAAGATATTGCAAGTTGCTAAGAAAAATTCTATTAAACTAAATTCATTAACAAAAAATTTAAATAGTTTGGAAGCATTACATAATAAACAAAAAGAGATTTTAACAAAATTAGAAAAGCCCGATGTATTATTTGGCTTCGTAGAAATTGAGAAATCTAAAGTAAAAAAATCTTATAAAAAGATGAACAATAAATTCAGGACCCCAGACATCTCTAATATAGGTCATATTTGGATTTTGGCCAATTTGGCCAAATTTGCTAAAAACTAGAATTTTGCCTTTTCTTAAATATCTCTGGATCCAGTGATTAGAATTGAATGAACTTTTTTTAAAAGAAGCGCATCACTGAGGGCTTTCATTTAAAAAAAACTTTATCCAAATTGGACTGCTGGTTGCTGAGATATTTACAAAAAAGTGATTTTTTGCTTCCCAAATTTATGAGAGTTTTGCTGAAAAGTTCCAATATGACCTATATCCTAGATGTTTGGGGTCCTATGAATTCTATCGGGTATTTTAATATTAATGTATGATATTATTATTTGTATTATTTTTGTAATATATATAATTTTATTCTAATTGTAAAATGCAATCAAGAAACTTTCATATGAATTATTTCATAAATACAAACTAATTAACAAAAATGAACTTAAAAGTCAACTTAAAACAAAGCTAGAAAATGATGATTTCTGCAATAAGCAATTGCAAAAGTTGAAAGATAAAATGATTTCATTTACCCAACTTTGGCATAAGAAATTTTATTCTGCAGTTAGTATTTTTACACACTTTTAAAATTTACTTGACAATGCTTATACATTGCTATATATTACTAATATAGATACTTGATGCTAATAAGGTTATTATATTAGACATATTAAAGAAGCTCTCTGGAGTACTTTTGGAATTAATCAGCTTAAATCATTTGAAAATAGTTATACAAAGAAACAAATAAAACAATAGAAACAACATCCTAATACAAAAAAGTTTATAAATAACTATATACTTCAAGTGACTCTAAAGATACACTCTCAGATACTTATCTCACACTAATAATTAAATATGTGTTTTTTTCCAATGAAGAACACACATATGAGAATACTGTTTGGACTCAGGCAGTACTTGAAGTAATATTCAACGAATCTCATCTTTTATCAAAAATTGATACAAAGAATGTTGATATATAAATTAAGCATATTATAGATAATGATAAAAGTGTAAGTATATACTATTTACTTATTTACTTATTTACTTACTTATTTTTTTATTTATTTTCTTTAATGTACTACTTTATTATTGTTTTTTTTTTACAGTGCACAAGATAAAACTTCTGATAATTTATCACCTTTGTCTAATATTAATAATCACAGTTCAGATAATAATCTTTATACAGATTAGATAACTTATTTTAGTTTATCATTATTAATGCATATTAATTTTAATATGTATATATGTAATCTAATTGTAAATTAAAAATAGCACTATGCATATATCCAAGCTTGTCAAATCTTGTAATTTTTTAATTTGGGTAATAATTCTAAATTTTTTATAACTAAATCGTCTTAATTGCTAGGTCCAGAAATAGTAATTGTTGCTACATGAAGAAACAATCTATGCAAGTACATTTAAGTATATTTTTTCAATAGTTAATATATTTGCTAGTCATTTTGTTGCTTTATGTAATAAGCATTAAATAATAGTCATATATTAGTTATTATAAAATTTAAGTTATACAATGCAATATAAATTGGTATTAGTTAACAAATATATGTTATTAAATATATTGCATTATTTGCTTTTATATATAGTTAGTTGATGTAGGGCTCATTGTTAAAGTTAAACAACAGTAGTGTTTGTTAATATAAGTAGCTGCACAATGCAGTTGCACAAAACCAGGAACAGGGAAGTAAAAATTAGAATGTTATATAATATGAAGAGATGTTTTTAAAATCATTTTAATCTTTAGGTCTAATATATGTGTAGATTAATTAATGATTCAAGAGTTATAACTAAGTGAAATGTATATATGTTCAGTATTAATTTACAATATTGAAATACGTTAGTTATAAATTAAAAGATAATGGATGTTATTGTTCTTAAGAGATTTATTGTTCTTTTAAAAAGTATTAAAAGAGTTTATAAAATATTAAAATAAGTTAGGCTAAGCAAAATAATTTTTTTGTTTATATAACCTGGCCAGGTCTATAAATTGAGAATTAAAAAATTTTATTTTTATTAATAAAATTTAAAATATCTATTGTAATTATATAAGAGTGATACAAACTCAAAAGGAAGATAATAACACAAAAAATATAAATGTTTATTCTGAATTACTTTATATTTTATTGACAATTATTTATTGACAAGCCATTTTACAGATAGTTTATTTCACTAAAGCTTATTTCACCAATAAGTTTTTTTTATAAACTACACTAACTTTAACTCTGATTCTAGTCTAACTCTAATTATACATCAGCGAAATATATTAACGTAATTTTACGTAAGTTATTACGGCCCGAAATATTGCGCAATAATTACGGTC